CTAAGGGAAGGTTGGGTGGGAGGGAAGGGCTCCTGCTCTTCCTTTAGGGTTGAGATGTAGAGCAGGGGCCTCCAACCTTGGCGACTTTAAGACTTGTGGACTTCAACTCCCATCTCCAACTCCCATCTTAGTTGCTCTTCTCTGAACTTTTTCCAAGGTCTCAATATATTTTTTGTAGTCTGGAGACCAAAATTGGTTGCAGCATTCTAGGCATGGTCTTACTAGGGTTTTATAAAGTGGTACTTTATAAAGTATTAAAAATTTGAAAGAGGGTAGGTAAGGCAGAATACCAGCAAATAACCCAAATCTACAAAGATGTCATCTCAGTGGCTCTTCTCTGCACTTCCCCCCCCCCCAAAGTCTCAAACTCGTTTTGTAATGTGGTGACCAAAACTGGATGCTGTATTCCGGGTGTGGCCTAAATAAGGATGTATAAAGTGGTACTAATATTTGCATGGCCCCTTATCCATACACGCAGTGGGGTCCACAGTCCCTAAGGGCTTCCAAGAAGATCTAGAGTGGGGGTGTCCAAACTTGGGAACTTTAAGACTTGTGGACTTCAACTCCCAGAATTCCCCAGCCAGCTGGCCTTCCTCATCCACACAGAGCTTCCTCTTCTCCTCCAATGGCATTCACTGTGTAGTTGTGGAAGACTCTGCCAGCCAGTTCTCCCAGCCTTTGACTCTTGAGATTTTTTTTGTAGGGAGGGGGGCATAAAAATATAACTGATGCTTTTTTCTCTTCAGGGTGATCCTGGCCCCTCAGGCCCCCCAGGAGCCCCAGGTGAAGATGGTGACCGGGTGAGTTCAGTCAAGGGTCCTTGTGAACCTTAAATATTTTGGGGTCTGTTTATCATTCACTGAGCTTACGCTGTAAATCAACCACTACCCTCCAGGCACATGGAGACCAGGTTATGCCTCCAGAGGTGAAACAAAGACCTTCAGTGATGGGCTATAGGATCCCACCCTATATGTGCGATGTATAAATCTAGGTAGGCTTATAGACAAAGGATTCTTGTAGATCCTTCAGCTGGTGACTTGATCCATCCCTGATTGTCCTCCCTGGGTCAAATGTAGCCCCCCAACTTTCACCTTTTGTTTAAGCAATTCAGCTGGATGAGACCAATATTTCCGTGGTCTCGTTGGAGTCCTCGTCTTCAGAATAGAACAGAATATCATAGTTGGAAGAGACCTTGGAGGTCTTCTAGCCCAAACCCCAGCTCAAGCAAGAGACCCTGTATATTACAGACAAGTGACTGTCCAGTCTCCTCTTAAAAACCTCCAGCGATGGAGCGCCCATGGTTTCTGGTGGCAAGCTGTTCCACTGGTTCATTGTCCTCACTGTGAGGAAGTTTCTCCTTAATTCTAGGTTGTGTCTCTTCTTGATTAGTTTCCATCCGTCGTTTCTTGTCTTGCCTTCTAGTGAACGAAGCTGCCTCGCTTTCCCTCCCCAAGTAGTTTGTCCCATCCTACGATTGTTTAATAAGAGGGGCCTGATTAGGGTCTGGCTCTTACCCCCCCCCCTCTTCTTTCTCCTGCCAAACAGGGTGATGATGGAGAAGTTGGGCCCAGAGGTCTCCCCGGTGAACCGGTAAGTGTCTGGAAAATGGAGGCAGCTCCATTCCTTTGAGTAATGGGGGAGGCATTTAAAGCACACAGCCAGGAGTGGTGTGGTGGCCTAGAGGTGGAGCTCTCGTCTCACAATCAGGAGGCTGTGGGTTCGATCCAAGATAGAGGCAGATATTTTTCTCTCTCTGGGCACAATGAGAATATATCTGCTGAACAAAACTCCGTAATGGAGACAGGAAGGGCATCCGGCCATGGAAACACTCTGCTAGCTCCATTCAGTTGCCCAGACTCCACCCCACATGGGATTATGGGGTCATCAAAAGATGATGATGATTTAAGCCACATGTCCAAGAGCAGAATGTATGAATTGGTGGGGACCAGGGGAGGGTGCTTGGGAATCAGCGGGGATGGCCCTACGGGGACTCCAGATACAATGTGTAGAAAGGGCTCAGGTGATGTCATTGTTGAACTGCTCCTGCCACAAACTCTCCTGAGATCCTTCACTGAAGGCGAACGGAGGACTTTTGTGTTCTTGTAGCCTTAAAACAACCAGAATAGATGATCTCTGTGATGCCAGGGCATGGCATAGAGATAACATAGGCAGCTGGCAGTTCAAACTGCCCCTTTATTGCTTCAAATTCCCCACTTTTCTGGCAAGTCCCACACACCTCCAGCCTCCAACAAGAAAGTCCAGCTGCAAAAGCTCCTTTGAGACATTGAGACAGGATTTGGGCATTTGAGCAGCGCATATGATCCGAGGATGCATGTTATGCATGTGTGAACACAGAGAGTTAGGACTGCTGTGGGGGACGACGTTGAGTGCGACTTTGGGGTGCTCTGTGTGTTCTTGGTTTGCTCTGCTTGTCCATCATTTGTGCTCAGGGAATTATCAGTGTGAAATTAGCCTTTCGCAGAGGAAGGGCTGTTGTATCACCGCAGCTGCTCCGACTGACATGGCTACCAATTGGCTGTAGAAGTTGTAACTCGCCTTTTCTGGCTGAGAGAGCAGCCCTTTCCTCCACTTCTGCCAGTTTCCCCGGGGGTTTTGTTGCTTCTGCCCCTAAGACCATTTGAGCATCTGCACTTCTCACCAGGAATGACAAAGTCCTTGGTGCTCCCCTAGCTTGGTGATTTGCTTGCCGATGTTTCATCACCCGTCTTATCAGTGCACTGATGATGTTACCCAGTTAGGTAATGAAATGTTGGCAAGCAGATCACCAACTTCGGAGAGCACCGATAACTCCCCAGTGGAAAGCCAAGCTAAATTTTTCTTCTATTCAAGAGGATGAAGTTCCTTGAATGGAGTGGCTGGGGAGAGGAGCTGTGGAGGCTGATGAGGCAGCTCCTTCAATATCAGGGTAATGATGATTTATTAGCTGACTAGCTGCTGTAAGGCTGTAAGACTGAAATGATGATGCAATGAGAATGAATCAGCAGGTTTATTTAACTGTTATCACTTTAAGAGGCTGTATATATAGGAGAAGCCCTGTGAGGGCGCTCTCTCCATACACGTGTGCTTCCGTGCTATAGTTGATGATTGATTGCCTGATTTTGCCTAGTATATGTATGTATGTAGTCCTTGTAGATAAACCACTGTTTGAAAGACAAGCCTGTTTACTGTATTTTGCTCCTGAGTTGTCTCAAAATAGTCACACTGTGTGCACACTCTGACATTCAAACTGGTCCTTCTGCAACTGAGAGCCAATTGGTACCAATTCCATCCTCTTCTTGGATGGGTCAGCAAGAGCCTGTATGAAAAAGGTTGACGTTGGCATTGTGGAAGTTAGTTGGCCCAGATAGTCTCACATCAGTGGGTTTCATGAGGCTTTCCAACCAGTAGAAGAAGCTGCCCAATCCGCTGTCACCAAAGGCCTTTCTCCATCAATGTAGATAAAACGGTATAACAGGGTCGGGAGGAACCTCAGAGGTGTTCTAGTCCAACCCATCTGGGACAAATGTTTCCAGACAGAAGGTTTGAAGTACAAGTAGTCCTCGACTTACAGCCTCAATTGAGCCCACAATTTCTGTTTTTAAGAAAAACATTTGTGAAATGAGTTTTGCTCCATTTTATGATCTTTCTTGCCACAGTTGTTAAGTGAATCACTGCAGTTGTTAATTAGTAAGATAGTAGTTACCGTATTTGTCAGAGTATAAGATGCACCAGAGTATAGGACACACCCAGGTTGTGAAGAGGCAAGAGAGAGAGAGACAGAGAAATACAGAGAGATAAAGAGAGATAAATACAGTAGAGAAGTAGGGAGGGAGAGTAGGTAGGTTGGTAGGTAGAGGGATAGAGAGAGAAAAAATAGAGAGAGAAAAATACAGTAGATAGATAGGGGGAGAGAGTGAGAGTAGGTGGGTAGGTAGATGTTTCCAGGTGTATTTATCCATGTGTTGGAGAAGGAAATAGCTGACAACTTGTAGCACCTGAAACTTTGTTTCTGCTGGCACAGCACTTGACCAATGTAATTCTCATCAAACACTCTAACAGCTTTCCGAAAGTGGGGGGGGGGAGTTTTTGCACTCTGCAAACCTCCCCAAAACTGCCATTTTTTGAGAAAACGGGCCCATTTTTAAAAAAAGGCATGAATAGCCTTGGGGAGGCTTGCGGAGTGCTCCTGGTGGGGGTGACATGAGCAAAAAACAGCCTGTTTTTCGCAAAAACAGGCCATTTTTTGTCAAAAAAAATTGCATGCATATCCTTATGGAGGCTTATAGAGTGCTGCTGGGGGTGGGCAAAAACACCCCGTTTTTGCTCATTTCTGCCCTCCCCAGCCCCCAGGAAGTGTCTGAAAGCCTCCATAAGGCTTTGCTCGGCCATGTTGGTGAAGGGGGCAGGGCTGCAGGAGGCAAAAATTGCTGTATTCGATGTATAAGACGCACCCAGATTTTCAGCCTCTTTTTAGAGGAAAAAAGATGCATCTTATACTCCGAAAAAGATGGTAAGTGAATCTGGTTTTCCCACGGACTTTGCTTGTCAGAAGGTCGTAAATGGTGATCACACGACCTGCATGTGACACTGCAACCGTCATAAATATGAATCAGTTGCCAAGTGTTTGAATTTTGATCACGTGACCATGGGGATGCTGCAACAGTCGTAAGTGTGAAAAACAGTCATGTCACTTTTTTCAGTGCCTTTGTAACTTCAAATGGTCAAATGAACTGTTGTAAGAACAGGACTACCTGTATTAGAGTAGAGTAGAGTAGAGTAGAGTAGAGTAGAGTAGAGTAGAGTAGAGTAGAGTAGAGTAGAGTAGAGTATAGAGTAGACTAATAATAGCATAGCATAGCACCTTGGAGGTCTTCTTTGGTTTAGTCCAATCTTTTCTTGCAATCCTCCAGTGGAGGAACAAATAATGCATACTAGGATTTTTTTCACTTGGGTTATTATTATGTAGGCTTTCTCCTCCAGGATTCAAACCCATCTACCATGCATAGAGTGGCAAATTCTGTGTTGCTGCAATGTCCACAAGAAAAAAAACAAACGTTTACAGAATTATAGCTGTCAATTGTACCAATTTTTGGGAGATATTGCTAACAATTTTTGGAACATTATATTTACTCACATATTTATAGGCTTTTCACCCACATAAAGGTGAATAGGAGTGACCCTAACAGTTTGAGAACATGTATTCTATTCTATTCTATTCTATTCTATTCTATTCTTTCACTTGGGTATCAGCCCTACAAATTGACTTTGTGCTGTTAGGCTTCAGACAATAGGTTGAAATTATGGTCCTTTTTGGTCAACTTTATTTTGGCCCACATATTGTTCAGAATACTGAACAATATGTGGACTTCTCTCTGCTGGTTGCCAAAAAACTGTCAGTGCTTTATTTTTGTATTTTTCGATGGATGCTACACTGAAGTCACGAGTTCTAGTCTTGCCTTAGCTATGAAAATTGGCTGGGAGACCTTGGGTCAGCCCGTCTCTCTCTCAGTCTAACCCACCTCACAGGGTTGTCCTGGTGGGAGAAACAGGAGAAGAAGGAAAATGTGTTGGATATGTTTGGCCCCTTGACTTAATTGTAAAAATAATAAAGGTGCAATACAAGTAAATAAATAAATTGCACCTCCCTGTAATGGAGGCCACCTTCGGCCTTGGCTGCTGGGTCCTTTGGTCATGGCCAGTGTGGTCACACAGAACTGGGTCTTCTTCTTAGGTTGCCACTCCTGGTGCTCATGAAGCAACATTCCCCCTCGACATTGTCGATTGCCTTTTCCAGTGCCAAGTTTATAGCACAGCACAAGTGGAATCTTTTCTGCTTCTCGTGGACACTTCCAAATTAGACTTGTTTCTTCTTGCAGGGTCCCCGTGGTTTGCTTGGACCGAAGGGACCTCCGGGGCCCCCAGGACCTCCGGTGAGTAGAATGAAATATTTTGGCAGGAAGTCGGGATGCCTCTCTGCCACCCATGATTGCCTCCCGTCTTTCAGTTCTCAAGGACATTTTCTCACATCATTGCAGTGGCAAAAAACACACTTTGCACTTGGTTGGCTTTCATGATTTTGCGTGGTAATATTTTTCCACCTTCCAATATGCTGCGCAAATGCTGATCAGAAGCAGAGTTTTCAGGGCTGGACTGCAGGAAAGATGAGTTTAGGCATTATTCCTCCTCCCAGACCAGACAGAGATTTCCTGGGTGCAACCATGCTGCCTTTGCCCCCAGACCTGCAGAGTGGGTGAACGGGACTGCTGTTTGGCCTATGAGTGCCCCGGGGTCAGTGCTCGGGGCCCGTGAGCTCAATCCCACATCACCCTTCCCTGGGAGCAGGAGAAAGCCAAGCACGAAGCACCGTGCCTGCAGTGGAGGGAGGCTCTACAAATGGGTGGAAACGCTGGGTGTGGGGAGGGGGAGGTTTAGCCCAGTTCTTCTCCCTGCAAAGGACTTTGGCAGGAAAACCTCAGGCCAGCAACTTTTGGGACAGGATGAGCCCAGTTTTAGTCCCCCTCTTTCACTCGCCAAGGCAAGGGCCAAACCCGCCGAGGATTTTGCATGGGGGATAAAGCAAGAGGCCTAGAGGTAGAGCTCTCGCCTCACAGTCAGGAGTTTGACTGTAAGTTTGATCCTAGTTAGAGGCAGATATTTTTTTCTCTCTGGGCACAATGAGAATATATCTGCTGAGAAAAAACTCTGCACTGGTGACAAGAAGGGCATCCGGCCAGTAAACACTCTGCTAGCTCCATTCACTTGCCCGGACTCTATCCTGCAAGGGATTATGGGGTCATTAAATGAGGATGAGGATGATAAAGCAAAACAGGCCTTTTTATTGTTTTTAAAGATGCCCCCATTTCTCCTATTGAAAGGTTCTGTTTCTGCACCGTGATGTGAAATAGGGAGGGGAGGCTTGGGAACCATTTCTGTGTGTTGCCCAACCTTTGCTCCTCCCAGAGTTTTCCTGGCAGGCTTCACTCCGCCTAACACAGCTGGAAAGAGGGCTGGGTGGGGCTTCTGTCCATGCTCACTGGGGTTCATGTTGTGCCTTTGCCTTCTTTTTTTGAATTTCCCCCCCAGGGCATTGCTGGCATGGATGGACACTCCGGCCCGAAGGGGAATGTGGTAAGTGCCTGCCCGCCACGGGGGAGCTCACTGACGCTGCGTACATTAAATCCACTAATGACTTTTCAGACCGTCTTCATTTTGAAGCTGGTGGACATCGCTTTCCTAAAGTAAATGGCACTAATTAATTTTACATTTTAAATTGATTTTCATGAGCAGCATATTGCGTTTTCTTGAGTAAAGAACTCGCTGGAGTAATCAGTGGCCATCAAATATTCCAGCGTTGGGGGCTGTGTGTCTCTGGGTGGATCAGGAGGCACTTAGGTGCATAATTGGTTGCACACGGCTTACTCTGGAAGCCAGAAGGAAGAAAGGAGACGGAGGTCGTCCTGCTCTTGAAGGACCGTCCCAAGGACGATGGCTGGATTATTCTCCAGGGAGTCCAAAGGCAGGACAAGAACCGGTGGGTTGCTGCCAGCATTACTGCCGGTTCGGTGCACAAAAAAAATCTGCAAAATCAAGATGGCGCCCACGGCGATAGAACCGGTTTGGGGGCGTGGCAGGCCGAGTTACTACCTACTCAGCCGTACCGGTAGGAACCAGCCTCTGGACAAGAACCTTCTGGGTGGGAGCATTGCTGAGGGAGACCTCCACTCGAAAGCAGGAGGCTGGACCTGCTCTCTACGTCCTCTCTGTTGCTTTCATCTTTCTCTCCTTTCTTCTCTTTTGCAGCTCTATCCAGACCCAGAGCTCTTCCTCCTGGGTTCTCCTTTCCAGACCCCTCATCGTCCCTTCCGTGAACTTACTCCACTTTCATAGAATCCTAGGGATGGAAGGGGCCTCAGAGATCTTCTAGTGAAACCCCCTGCCCAAGTCAGGAGTTCCTATACCATCCCGGACAAACGGGGGTCCAATCTTTCCTTGAAAACCTCCAGTGACGGAGCACCCACGAGTCTAGGAGGCAAGCTGAGCCCTTCGATTCATAGCTTGGAGTCCATTTTGAACTACGATGCCCAGAACTCCAAATGGGGTCTGAATGGGACAGTCGCTTCTGAGGGGTCCTCATTGCTCTCTGGTTGTTTTCTTGCAGACGTTTCATTATCCAAACTAGATAACATCATCAGTGCTAATAAGGAGTGGGATTTGCTCTCATTTTATGTTCTAGTGCAGCGGTGTCAGATTCAATTTCATTGAGGGCTGCATCGGGGGTGGGGGGGCATGGGGTGTGGCCAGCTCGACGTCACTCGTGTCAGGGGCGCCTATGGTGGCCCAAGGGCTCTGCCAGAGAAAACAGGCTCCTGAGCTCCGTTTTCAGCTGGGACTGTCTCCTGCAATCCTCTGCCACCGAAAATGGAGCACACAGCCGTCCCAAGCTCCATTTTTGCTGGCAGACGCACCGTGGGCGGCTCCTTTGCTGTTTCCAGGGGCCAAATCTAAGCACCCCGTGGGCTGGATCCGGGCCCCGGGCCTTGAGTTTGAAACCCCTGTTCTAGTGACTTGCCCTGTCAGTGTTGGTGGGGGTGGAGTTGACAGTTCTTTGGTTGGGCTGTTGACCGTTTGGCAGTTCTTTCATTTGTAGTATTTACTTCTTGAATGTTGGTCAGTTCTCCTAATCCGGGCTGGGCTCCTGTTAACGGACCTCAAGGTAGCCCTTTCCTTGAGGAAGTTGCTTCCCTCTTCTGGCTTACATGTCCTGTGTGGTTGAGGAGGAGGCCCCTTCGCGTCCCACTGCCAGGACTCAGATCCTGTCCATTGGTCCTTTATTTTCCCACCCAAATCTGTTCCTTTCTATTTTCTCCTTGCTAAATTCCCTGCTACTCATTTCCGCTCTTTTTGAATCTCCTCTTTCTCCTTTGATTACCCTGCTAGTTTTGTGTCCTCTCCATCAGGGGTCTCCAATCTTGGCTGAGGAACTCTGGGAGTTAAAGTCCAAAGTCTTAAAGTCGCCAAGGTTGGAGGCCCCTGCTCTACATCTCAACCCTAAAGGAAGAGCAGGAGCCCTTCCCTCCCACCCAACCTTCCCTTAGGAGAAAGGTCGTATCTTTCCTACAAGGAAGGAAGTCCTGTGCTCGACAAGGGGCCACTTTCTAGGCCAAGATGACCAATGGTGGGGAGAGAGGCACCATGGTTTGAGGGCGATCGTCAGAAGAACACCCACAGAGGAAGCGATTATTTAAAAAAAAGCATTAAACTGCACGGGACAGACTAACAATGAAGATAAAAAGAAAAAGATGTGCAGTATTTTCAAATTTGGAACACATTTTATCAATGTTTGGATAATAGAAGTAGAAATTAGGAGTTTAATATTGCTATGTAAACAAACTGAGGGACGCGGTGGATCAGTGGCTAAGACGCTGAGCTTGTTGATCAGAAAGGTCGGCAGTTCGACATGACCATGGCGACGTCTTCAGACAGTGCTGGCTCTTCGGCTTAGAAACGGAGATGAGCACCGCCCCCTAGAGTCAGGAATGACTAGCACATATGTGCAAGGGGAACCTTTATCTTTACCTTAAACAAACTGAACCAGACAGTACGCTGTCCACTAAGCACTTATTGTGTATTTATAAACATATAAATATAATTTTTTTTAAAAAAGAACTATGTCAGAAGTAGCCTCAAGTTTGCAGTCCCATATTTCACCATACTCAGAAATAAAAAAATGCTTCAGCTGTCGGATATCTGATCTGAAATTTCAATGCTTTTTGCGTTGTTGGTTTTTTCCAACCATAAAAAGCATTATTAGCACCCCAAAATGACAAAACCAGGTAAAATGGATGTTTCAGGGTGTTTTTCATTAGCACATTAGAGGTTTTCTAAACAATTGTAGTCAGCAGTATTATGCTGCTAGGAGTCATATTCCTGGCAACTACTGCAACGGGTTTTGCCTGTTATTTTTTTGCAGCGTTACTGATAAAAAGTATCATCGGTTCTAACCCAAGATCTCCATGAGGGTTTTTCCTTTGGGTTTCTCTCAAGTGAAATCCAGCCAGCGTTGCTGAATGTGCGCTTTATGCTTTCTTTTTTAGGGTCCTCAAGGTGAGCCTGGACCCCCAGGTCAACAGGGAAGTCCAGGTGCTCAGGTGAGAAGGCGCAATTCCATTAGGGGGGTGCTGGAGGATCGGTCACCCCTTTTGCTCTGGGGTTGGGATGGACATTACTAATGTCGGCCAGTTGATGAATGGAGGCGTGTAGCAAATTCCCTTCCTGCCACTGTTGGAAGAAAAATCCATCTGGTTCAGTTCCAAGCTGGGAGAAAAGCACTGGAATCATGGAGGCTGATTGGAAAGATGATTTACTGATGAAGCAGAACCACCAAGCCCATGGTTCTCTGGTGCAGCTGACCACATGGAGTGGAGCGTAGGGTTCTTTTTTTATAACTTGTCTTGGGGCTTTGAACTTGAGCTTCCTGTTCCAGTGCAAGAACATATCTTCTATTGGCTGTTGTCAGGCTCCCATGGTGTCATGTACAAATCAGAGTTTGTCTGAGCTAAACTTGGTCAACATGTTTGGCTGATGCAATGTCCTTAGGATGGAGTGCAATGCAGTGACCTCCGTGTCTTCTGCCAAATGGTCCTATTACATCCTGAAGGGCTTTGTGTTCATCCCATCACCCTGGAGCTGAAGGCCCTTTGTCTTGTAGATAGGCTGGCCCAGCCCTGCAGGGGCGATTAAGAAAGACTTGGGGGCTGCTTTCCAAGACCATGTTTCTCCTTTAGGGAAATATAATATTCTGCCTTTTTAAATATTTCCCAAAATATTTCATTCTTCTAGGAGAGGTGTGCGGGATAACTTTGTACACCACCTTCAGGTCAGGTGGGAAAATTCCAGCCTAAAGATCTGGAAAGACAAACCACATTGGGTGCCCCAGAATCCACGTCTTCCTCAGTGGAAGAGACTTTAACGTATAAAACACCATCCCTGTGGAAGCTCCACAGCAGCCTCTCTTGATGGAGCATGGGAGGTTCCCAACTCCAGGAAATCTGCACCTGGCAGCCGCACAGTCTTCCTGCCTGGTTCCTTGCAGCATGGAGAGAGACTTGGTGTGATAGTCTCAGCACTCTGGAAAACGCCATGCTGGGGAAAAAGACACCCTCCCTTTCCCTCAAGGATGGGAGTCCCAGAGACCCTCCTTTGCAAGCCAAAATCTAGGAGAGTTGCAAGAGTCCCAGAGAGTTTGTTGGAAGAAACGTCCATCTGGGTTCAGTCCCAAGTGGGGAGAAAGACACTGGAAACATGGAGGCTGCTTGGAAAGACGGTTTAATGGTGGACAGGACCACATGGTTTGAGGTCCTGGGCAAAAATGAGAGAGATGCCGAGAGTTCCCGGGTTTTATGCCCTCTGTTGGGCTTTGAATTTGAGCTTGTGTTCTGATTGGTTGTCAGCCTCCCATGGGGCCATGCAGGGGCAACTCTGTAGGCTGCCATTGAGTCCCAAGCTTGGTTGGCTCTTGCTGGGTGATGATGTAATGAAAGAGCTTTGGGATTCCTATTGTGGCTCTGCCTGAAGGAGGTAGATCTTTGTTATGTAGAATAGACTGCCCCAGGCCTTAATGGCCCATTAACAAAAGTGTGTGTGTGGTGGGGTGGGGACTGAATTTCTGCCTCCCTTTTAGGGAAAATATTCTCCCCTTTTATTTTTTCCTAAAATATCTCATTTTCCTTGGAAGGGGACGGGTGCTGATTTCCTACAAGTTGAACATGTCTGGGTGCCTTGGGGAGGGGGGTTTCCTTGCCTCCTGCCACAGCTTTCCAATGCGGAGGGAGGAAGGAGACTGGAATCCCTTTTAGACCGAAAACCAACCCTGCTGTTGCTGGCTACTGTTGGAATTTGTCAAGTGTGTGTGTGTGTGTGTGTGTTTGTGTTTGTTTGTGTGTATGTGTGTGTGTTTCATCTTGTTGTGTAGAAGAAAACTTGGGGTTTAAGCCTGGACACCCGCAGGCTGGAAGTCTTCCCCTAGCTGGGTGAGGGTTGGGGTTAGGGAAGGAAGTGGCCCTCTGGGGTTCCCCTGGTGCCCTCTTTGCCTCTTACCCCCTTTCTCCCCTTCTCTTTCTAGGGTCTTCCCGGCCCTCAAGGTCCCATCGGAGCTCCCGGGGATAAGGTAGGTGGATGGCAAACGCCTGGCCTTTAGAAGAGGCCGGTGGACTTCGGGGCAGTCGCTGCTCTTGTGCTCAAATACCTGCCTGTGTATTTCTTTCACTTTCTGTGCGGGGGAGTCTTTTTCCTTTGAGGAAATAGATGCCACCCCCAGCCTCTCTATTACAGATTCTAACACTTGCACCCTCTGAAAAGAGGGTGGGTGAAAGCAGGAGTGGGTCAGGGTCCTGCCTTCCTCCAGCTTCCCTGAGTCTTCACGCCACCCGGTTTTGGTTCAAGGATCAAAGCTCAGGACCCTGGACAGCACCCCGGAGTTTAGGGGAGCTGGTTGAAGTTTTAAAAGAGAGTCAGGGTCCCAAGAAACACCCCCAACGAAAGGAGACTCCGAGGCTTGAGTTTCCTCAAAGTTCCACTTTATTAGAGATGCCATTTTGGCACATCTGGGAAAAACCGACTCTGAGAGCTTCCAGGTTTTCCCCACCCAAAAGAAAGCTCCCGTCCATCACAAGGCCCAATCAGCCTCACAGTCATGCCACTCCAGTGCAGGGCAGAGTGGCCTTAACTCTTGGAGAAAGGAATGTTATTATGAGTATGCATCTCCCCAGCTCTGTATGAGCCCCCCTCCCAGTTTCCCACAGCAATCCGTGTGGCAGAAGGCCCAATGCAAAAGATGGCTTCCGGGCCTGACAGAGCGGGTGCTGGAGCAGGTGCCCAGGGCCAGTCTGGGCATTTGAGTTGCCTACATTCAGGCCATCCAGCAGAGCCTCGGCATCTGGCCAATGCTACTGGATCTCTTCCGGAAGGCCCCCCTGGAGGCTTTGAGTGGGCAGAGGGCAGAGAAGTGCCCGGGCAGCCATCTTCTTCTGCTCTGCCCATCTCAGGTGGAACTGGAAGGCCCTGGCAAAGAGATCAATAACTGTCAGAGAATCTGACCCAACGGGCACCTGAGCCCAGCTCAGCTCAGCTCCTGCAGGAGGCGGTGGAGAGCCTTGTCCTATTCTGAGCACTTCGTGAGGTCACTGGAGGGAAGGCGGAATACTTTGCAGGGGGAATGGGCTCCGTGGGAGGCACAGCAGGGGACGGAGGACGGCGGCACGAACCTTGTACTTGATCCAAGATGTTCCAGAGGGCTGGTTCCTGGAAGGCCTAAGTCAGCTCCTGGTTCCTAGGAGGAGCCTACAGTCTCGGAAAGCCCAGAGCATAATTGACAAACCAGTAAGCTCCCTGCTCTTGCCCTCCTGCACGTCGGCTGCAAAAATGTCTCTTTCTTCCCTAGGGTCCCCTGGGGAAACCGGGTCTTCCTGGCATGCCTGGAGCAGATGGTCCCCCGGTAAGCTCTGCTGAGGTCCCTACAGGAGACCCTTCCTTCCTTCTTTCCTTCCTTCCTTCCTTCCTTCCTTCCTTCCTTCTCTTTCTTCCTTCCTTCCCTTTCTTCCCTCCCTCCGTCCTTCCTTCCTTCTCTTTCTTCCCTCCCTCCCACTCTCCCTCCTCCCTCTCTTCCTCTCTACCTCCCTCCCTCCCTTCTTCCCTTCCTTCCTGCCTCCACTGGATTCCTAAAGTGGGCAGGGGGTGTGCAAGATGATCTCCAAGGTCCCTTCCGACCCTTCCATTATATTAGCCTACAATCAAACCAGCATTGCTTGCAAAGATCGTTCCCAATAAAGAAAGCTAGATGGCTGTAAAATTCCATCCAAATGCCTGTCATCTTTGATTTGCAAATGTAAATATGTCCTTGGGAACCTGCCCTTCTCCAGTTTTGGCTTCTGCAAGGAAGATGGGTTGGTTGTGCATCTCTTGCATCTGCCTGCATTAATCAGAGGTCTGAGCATGTCTGAACAGATGCCTGTTTCAGTCCCGCAGAGAGAGGGAAGCTTTTGGGGAGGGGGCAGGAAAATACCCCCAGTGCTTCCCCTGGTACGTTGACCTCCGTTCTCTTGACCTGCAGAAACGGCCCTGGAAAGACAGCAGGGGGCTTTGCAGGTGCCCTTCCGTCTCTTGGCTTCTGCTCTTTGTGGCTAATTGGGAAAAGCACCAGCTGGAAGGCTGCCAAGGGGGAGGGGGGCAGCACTGGTTTCCGGCAGGGGCAGCCCTTGGCAGGTGCTCAGCCAAGGGGATTCCTAGAGATGCCAAGCTTTCTACCCAGAGATGCATTCCCAAGGCTTGATTTGTGGTGCCATCTATACCTGGCTGTCTTGACCAAGATGGAGGATCCCCTAACCTAGAAGAATCCCCCCTTTGTCCCTGTTCTTTAGACCTTGGGCCTCAGGAGGGTTGATGAGCAGAGCACTTTCTGTCTGCCTGGCTGGTGGATAGGACAGCCAAGGGCCCTTGACTCTCCAAGAGACACTCCCAGCCCAGGGCACTCGGTCTGCTGGAACCCCCTGAGAGGGAAGGGCACACAGGGCTGGAATGGTAGCCAGCTGGGAGGGTGAAGAGAAGCTTGTCCAGCAGGCCCAAGGCAGGAAAAACAGGCAGCCCAGCCTTACACTTAGACAAGAAAAAACAGAAGGACACATACAGACTGGGGGAAACCAGGCTTAATAACAGTAACTGTAAGAGGGATCTTGGAGGCTTAGTTAAAGAGGAGCCAACAGTGTGCAGCAGAAGCCAAAAAAGCCAACACAATCCTAAATTGCATTAACAGAGGGATACAATCAAGATCAAGGGAGGTACTAACATTGCTCTATAAAGCCTTAGAAAGGCCACACCTAAAATACTGCATCCAGTTTTGGTCACCAAGCTATAAAAAAGATGTGGAGACTGTAGAAAGATTGCAGAGAAGAGCAACCAGGATGATGAGGGGTCTGGAGGCTAAAACATACGATGAACGGTTTCAGGAACTGGGCATGGCTGATCTAGTGAAGAGAAGGACCAGGGGAGACAGGATAGCAGTCTTCCAATATTTGAGGGGATGCCACAGAGAGGAAAGGTGGGGGGTCAATCTATTATCCAAAGCACCTGAAGGCCAGACAAGGAATAATGGATGGAAACTGATCAAGGAAAGATTCAACCTGGAAATAAGGGGGAATTTCCTGACAGTGAGAACAATCAACCAAGGAACAAGTTGCCTTCGGAAATTGTAGGAGCTTCATCACTGGAAGCTTCCAAGAAGAGACCTGTCAGAAATGGTGTAGGGTCTGCTGTTTGGGTGAGGGGTTCGACTAGATGACCTACAAGGTCCCTTCCAGCTCTGTTCATCTGTTCATCGGCTTCTCTTGCTTTCCTTGCTTGCAGGGCCATCCTGGCAAAGAAGGGCCTCCGGGCGAGAAGGGCACCCAGGTAGGTAGACGTCAATTCCTCTGGGTTCATCCACCTGCCGTCATGAGAAAGGGGGCTGCAGAAAATAGCAAGATGAGAGGCCTCCAACCTGGACGTGCTGGGTGGGAAAACACAGCCCGACTCCACAACCTGTGGCACTTCTTGAGAGGGAAGAGTGGGGGGGGAGGCCTCAGGAGACCCACAACTGCAAACAGGGGTCAGCAGGGAACCTGATGGGTGCATCTGAACACTGGTCTAGAGGTCACAACTAACCTTGTCTCCATAGTCCCTTCCCCAGTGGGTTGGGGGCGAGGGGGAAATCCCACTGAAAGATGTAGTTGCTGGTTTCTTCCAGCTGAAGGAGTTCCCTTAAGCCAGCTTCTCAAACCTTTGCCGAAGACAGTAATGCCTAGTGGCGTTTGCCTACTGACATTGAAATTCACCAAGGCAGCGTGCTGGGAAGAGACGGGACTGGGAGAAATCGCAGCTGCCTCCCTGCTTTGGGATGATTCCCTCCTCCTTCTGGCTTTGTACCAGAATCAGAGTTTGCGAGGGTCTCTGCTTACAGAATTGAGAAGTGGGCCCATCCGTCACAATGTCCGTAACTGCTCTGGAAGTCATTTAGCAGGCAGCAGGCAGCTTCCAGCTGTCTCTGGATCCCCAGGTGGCTGCCTTCTATACCAGTTTCATCCAAAGACCTCCTCAGCTCTGGACAGGAAGCACCTCAATTTGTCCTGGCTTCAGAGGAGGCTGGAGATCCTTCTGGACTGCAAGGCTTAAGTCCAGTGGTGAAATTCTGAATTTTTTACTACCAGTTATGTGGGCGTGGCAGGGAAAGGATACTGCAAAATCCCCATTCCCTCCCCACTCTGGGGCCAGAGAAGTTCTCCAAATTACTCAAAATTTCCATTACTGGTTCTCCAGAACCTGTCAGAACCTGCTGAATTTCACCCCTGCTTAAATCCCCCCCCAATGTTTGTTGGATCACACAAGGATGATGCACACAGTGGTAGCTGAGAGGGAGGAGTAGGAGTAGGGTGGAAGTTGAGGAGAGACCTGTTCTATCTCCCCCACTCCACCCAAATGGGATCAACCGGTCCTCCTTTCTGAGCTGGGGGTCCTTCCCTGGAACAGAATGTTAAAGAATTTGTGCATCTTCTTCAAATAAGGTGCAAAGTTGCAGTTGAAAATATGACAATACAACCCCAGTAATCTTAGTATAAAGAAATCAGGGCGCTCTTATTTTTTTTAAAAAAGATTCACGCCTTATCTTTTAAACTATTCAAATCAAACAAAGAAACTGCAGCTGGAATCCGGCACAAAGCAGAGTTCACAGAGGCAGTGGAATAAAATATTCATGGAATGCCTTTGTGATTTAGGGGGGAAGCGTCCAAGCAGCCCTCAATACATCCTCATTGTCATCCAGTTGGGTTAGAAGAGGAAGAGCAGATGAAGGCCTAATGGAGCCTCTTGGAAGCTGTGTGTCCAGTTAAATTCTGCCTTAAGATAGTCAGGCTGAACACTTGTGCAAAAATCATTACACCAACATTTTAGGACAGAACATCCTAGGTTATAGAGGGAAATGGTGGATCAGTTCAGACGTTTTCTGCTGGGAAATGTGGCCATTGTCAGAAAACAGGCCTTTCCAGCAGGCACTGAAATTCACAGCTCCTGGAGGACGTAGGTGGGCCTGTGGGTGTCATTGTTAAAACATACCACGTGAAGTGCATCTCCTGGTGGTGGCATATCTTTTCTGTAGCCAAGGGGAGTCACAGTCTTCTGGACTTGAGCATTCCCTTCCTGGAGGGTGAGGTTAGACCCTCCAGGAGTAGCTCAGCCAGTGGAAATGGCCTCCCCTCTCTTTGGATTTCTTTATCACAAGGGGATCCGGCAGAACGGCCTGCAAGCTTTTATCTTGAGTTTAGGGAGGTGATGAGGACGGTGTAGGGCTAGGCGGTGAGTTCTCACACCTGCATTTCTTGCTGCAGATGTTCTTTCTGCAGGGTGGCATCCATGAAAGAGCTCCAGCCATAGCTCACCTTCTGGCTCCTACAGCCACCGTCATGGCAAGGCCACAACTTGCCCAGAGTTAGTTTGCTCTGTGCCTAAAGGGTTGTGTAACCCATAACCTTAACCGATGCCTTTAGCAGCCGAGCCACTGTTTGTTCGGGGTGTGTGAAGCAGGCCCTGGAGTCCCAATGTATAATATAGGCATTGGCTTCGGCAAAATGTTGTATTATACTGGCATAGGTAATTTGTTTACCTGCAAGGTGAGCCCGGCTCTGATTTGCTGGCCGGAAGGGGCATAAACATCCTATTTTCTCTCAAGGAGCATCTCACGATGACTGAATTCTCTTCCCCCTCCCTCCTTCTCCTCTGATCACAGGGTCCAGCTGGCCCTCAGGGCCCACTTGGGTATCCCGGCTCCCGTGGAGTGAAGGTAAGCAGCCGGAACCCCGTCTTGGGGCCCTTCTGAATGCCGCCCCCATCTCTTCCTCTCATAGAGGCGTGTGAAGTCTTTTTGAGACTGCTGTGACTCTGAAGGCTGACCCAGCTCATGGGAACTGGTCTTGACAAGCAGGAATCCAGTTAGGACACCGGGGACTGGTCTGCCTTCTGTGCCGTTAAAAGATCTGTTGCCTCCTCCCTGGTTGGGTGGAGATCCAGACTTTTAAGAAAGTCCTGCTGGATTATTAGGCTGAGGGTGTCATCCAGCATCCAGGCCTCCCCCCTGTGGACCAGAACATGCTGTAGGGATGTTTGCAGCCAGTCCTAAAGGCTGCGGCCCCCAGGAGACACCAATTGCCAAAGTGTCAGCGTTCCAAGTGATGCACCCATCGAAAGCAGAACTCCAGGCAGGGAGATTCCTCAAAGAACATGTTTATTGGATACATCATATCAGCACAACCGGTGAAAACCAACTCTGTTCCTGTGGTTTTTACCTAATTAAAACCGGGAAAGTTCCCCCTCCCTTATATGGTATAAGTGGAAGGAGCAGCTCTGAAGTGGCTTCTGAGTGAATGGTAGAGTTTCTCACACCAGCATCTAAACTTTAACCATGGCTGAACTCTTCATGGCTGTTGTTGTGGTCTGTAGGCCACCGGCCTCTCCAGCAGCCGAATCAGATGAGGAGGAGGAGGAGACGTGGGAGTCAGGGTCAGAATAAAGGCAACCTGAGATCTCCAAGGGAGAAGAGGGAATGGAGCTGGCAGAGAGAGAAAGACAGAGGCACAGCCTGGGCCATCCGTCAGCCTTTAGATGGAGAGTCAAGAGCCCCCAGGTCTGGAGATGGCTGATGAGGATGAACAGCTGGGCCCAGTGCCTGATGCACAGATACACAGAAGGCAGAGGAGAGGAGAGCAGTGGAAATCTATAGGCCGGTCCTTGGGACAGAAGAGCCACCGCTGCTAGTGAAGCCCCACCCTGGCTCTGGGGATCAAAGGCAGGGGGTGGAGATGAATAGGTGTGGAAGACAACTCTTCATCTCCCTGCCGGATGGACTTGTTAGCCTGCATTAAGAGAGAAACTTTTTACAGGGGTCGCTGGCACTCCTAATAAAGGAACCTTTTGAGTTCATGTCAGAGGGTTTGTCTGTTTGGGGAGCTGGGTCAGAACAGCTGCTAACCTGGGACCAGAACTTTGGATCTGGCCAGAGGATTCCTTCCCAGGCTGCCCAGCTGTTGCCACCCTGGGATGCTGATTGAAGGTGCATTGGGTGCTTCAAACGCCGAGCCTTTGTTGCTTGTTGTATTGGAGGAGATGCCCCACCTGGCTGCCACACGCTGAAGGCTGAAAGCTTTTCTCTGCCAGGCTTTTGGCCCAGGAAGCCTTTGGCACTCTCCTTGGCATCAAAGGGCATCCCGCGTGGGGAGCCTAGGCTGAGAAAGGCTGTTGGGGGAGTGAGGAGGGTCCCCAGCTGTTCTCTCTCATTTCTCTCCTTCCGTCCCCACCAGCTTCCCTGCCTGCCATTCCCTCTTCAACTCCGCCCAGGAGCCTCCCCTCCCCTTGCCTGCCCCGTTGGCCTCCCCAATCCCCAGGGATTCATTCAGGGAGCATCACCTGGGGGTGGCCGGGTGGATCCTTCCTGCTGCTCTACGCCTGGGTTGCTGCAAAAGTTTTCCTTTCCAGGTCAATCCTGCCTTAATTGGAAGAAGGCCTAAAACTGACTCCAGCAACGGAAGGCAAACGGAGTGTCTCAGCATTCAAATCATTGGGTGCCCCCCCTCTCCCCCCACCCATAAAAATCCACATTGATGCTGCAAGAAGCCATTTTAAAGGCTGCTGTGGGCGTACTGTTGTTTCCTGATGTGCAGGGGGGAGGGGCTGCTTGTGAAGGGGCTTGGATTTGTTTTCAAGGCATTTCACCAGCAGCCCCTTTCCCTCCCCTCACACCCCTCTTTAGCTACTTAGTGTCAAATAAAGACTGTCCCCCCCCCCCCGGCTTTCCGTGCAGTTTTAAAATCCCTCCCTCCCTCCCTCCCTCCCTCCCTCCCAGGGCACTCTGAATGAGATTTCACACAGAAATTGCTTCCGTGTTGCCCTTTTGCAATATTTATCAATGTGCATAATGTTGATAGCCACGGAAGACAATGCGAGAAGCTGTAAGCATCCAATCTGAGCAATCTTCCACACAAAATTCAGATAGGAAAAAAATAGGTAATTTAGAGCTGCTGGATAAAAGGAGAAAGTCAAACGGGGAGAAGCAACTTTTCTGACATGGCTGCTTTAGCATCAGACGCGCTACTGGTTTGAAAAATGTTTCCTAAAAATATGTACTTACGTATTCCTTTTGGTGCAACAGAAGTCAGACTCCCCAAAAGGAAATTGAATGTAAAAGTTACCAGGGGGAAGGAGAAAAATGGAGGGGGAACTTGTAAATATGCCTAACAATATATATTTAAAGTTCTAACGTGAGGTTTAAAATTATGGGGCTTAATGATGTATAACTATGTAATAGTATTATAAGGATAGCTGGAAACCTGAACGTGGCTGACACTTCGCCCAAAAAAGAGGGGCTTTTTTGGGGGGAGAAATAAATGGAACCTGTATATAAGAAGTCGGACTCCCCCCACCCCCCATTTCTGTAGTGTCACCTGTCTTTAGGGGCCAGTCGGCTTGGCCTGCCCTGCAGATCCTGAGAAAGCTAAGGAAGAGCAGCTGGTCAGGGGTTCAGCTGCAGCCCGAGTCCAGGTTGCCTCTGGTTGTAGGTCTTGAGCTGTTGCAGACTCGGGGACCCCTGCCAGCCATCAAGAGCAGACAGATACAGGGAACAGCAAAGGACTCACAGCCAGACTCCACTCCGGGAAACATTTGCCTGGGGCCCATTTCTTGGTTGGATGGAAGCCATCTGCAGTCCTTGGCATCTCTATGGAAATTGGGTAGTTCCAGGGCCCCATAAAGATAATCTCAGATGGATCCCAGCTTCTCCAGAAGATTCAAGGTGGACAGCTGCCTCTAGATCACCTCCACCAGCTGTGATGGAAGTTTCCATGTCTGCAATTACTTTTTCCGTGTCCTGCATCAGGCAGGATGCCATTGTGCCACAAGAGGTGTCCCACAAGGCAGCTCTCGGCTGACACCAGTAGAGGAAGATGCCTGCAAGGGGACAAAAGAGGAGAAAGTAACTTTCCATTCTCCCATCCATCCTAGTGTGGCCCGAAGAACCTCAGAAATCACATTAAGGGATATTCCGTTAAGCTCCATTGAAGTTGTTACCTAGCCTGGTAACAAAACGTTCAGAAACCAGCTGTTCTCACCCAGCTCTCCAAACACAACAGACCCTCTGAAGTGAACTCAAAGTTTCCTTTATTAGGAGCAAAAAGTTTCTCTCTCAACGCAGGCTTAAGAGATCTGTCCAGCAGGGAGATGAATAGTTGTCGGCCACACCTATTTATCTCCGCCCCCTGCCTTTCATCCCCAAAGTTAAGGTGGGGCTTCACTAGCAGCAGTGGCTCTTCTGTCCCGAGGACCAGCCCATAAACTTCCATTGCTCTCCTCTCCTCTGCTTTCTGAGCATCTGGACCCAGCTGTTCCTCCTCATCAGCCACCTTCAGACCTGGGGGCTGTTGACTCTTCATCTGAGGGCTGACGGACGATCCAGGCTTCACTTCTGTCTCTCTCTGCCAGCTCCGTTCCCTCTTCCCCCTCGGAGCTCCCAGGTTGCCTTGATGCTGACCCTGATTCCCACACCGCCTCCTTATCTGGTTCGGCTGCTGGAGGAGCCCAGCAGCCGACAGGCAACAACGCCTGCCCACAAGGTCAGAGAATGAACCTTCACCCTCGTATTCCTCCGTGTTGCCTTTAGGACAACTGCAGGCACAACACACCCTCTCTCTCTCTCTCTCTCTCTCTCTCTCTCTCACACACACACACACACACACACACCCTCTAGGCACAGCCTTCCTTCATCTGGTTGGGCTTGGGCTAGAAAAAGCCCAGACAGTTCCCTTGAGCCCAGGAGAGTCCCTAACCAGGCATGGATTTGGAGCGGGTGTTGACTCAAGACTAGCCATCTCCTGTGAGGTCAAGAGTCCAGTTAAAGCAAAAGAGAAATGTTTTTGCTGCCCAGCTGGCAAGCTGCCTCTCTCAGACCCCTCTCATTCTCTCTCTTCCTTTTCAACCCAAATCCAACCCCTTTTACACATAAGCCCATCTTCTTGGGCACTGGAAGATGAGATACTGTCTTCTTTGGAGGAAGGCAGTTCTGGTTTCTGAAAACGTCACTGCACCCATGTGATTCCTCCTGATGGCCACAGGTAGGCCAACATCCTTGCACCTGACCCACAACCCTCTCCCTGTGGACCCTCTCGAGGTCACTGCAGGAGTTGCTCCATGATGCCAGGTCAATGTGGGGCAGAGAAGCCATTGTGCAGCTTCACTCTGGTGCCCTGGAAGGCAAAACAGGGAGGGCTTCTCTCTCACCCCAATTACTGCACCACCACAGAGGATCTCTGGATACTACCTCTAGAACAGGGGAGGCGAACTTGATTTCTTTGAGGGACGTGTCAGGGTTGTCTCTGACATTTCAGGGGGGGGCAGTGTGGGGGTGGCCAGCTCAACGTCACTCATGTCGGGGGCACCTGTGGTGGCCCAAGCACTCTGCCAGAGAAAATGGACTCCCAAGCTCTGTTTTCGGCTGCGACAGCCTCCTGCATCCCTCTGTCAGTGAAAACTGAGCACGCTGCCCTCCCAAGCTCCGTTTTGGCCGGCAGAGGCACCATGGACCAGTCCTTCACTGTTTCCAGGGTAGCCCCGCAGCCAGATCTAAGCATCCTGCAGGCCGGAACAGGCCCCCAGGCCTTGAGTTTGACACCCCTGTTCTAGAAGGGAGACTGCCGAGAATAGTTCACATAATTGTGGTTGTCACACCAGAGAGCCTGGATCTTTCTCTAGCCGAGAGGAACCGAAGCTGGGTGGATTAACTGGGCTGGGCAGTTGGTGCCAAAGACAAGCATCTCTTTGTCCAATATCCAAATCAGGCTCTGTGTGACGATCACAGGCTCTCTAGCTGAGATCCTTGAGTAGACAACCTGCCTGGTCCCATGGTCACCCGCAATGTGCCAGGTGATATTAATGCATTTTTTTTGTGTGTTTGCGGTTAAGGGCGCTGACGGCATCCGGGGCTTGAAAGGGACGAAGGGTGAGAAGGTGAGTGAGCTTCCGTTTGAATCCCCATCTTTTCCCTCCGCTGGATTTTCTGCCTTCCGTCTGTTCTGATCTAAGCCTCCCAAGATCATGAAGCCAACTCCGTGGCCTGATAAAACCCCTTTTATTTAGGTTAAAGGGAATTCCTCTCCAGCAAAGTCTTTCATGAGATTTCACAGCTACAGACCTTTCTCAGGCTTGGAGAGCTGCCAGGCCGATACCTTCCAAACTCCACGCAGTAGCAGCAATTACTTGGCAAGAAGTCAGAAACAGATTTTCACCCTAATGAATTGAACTCATTGTTTCCTGCAAACTCCCCTCCCCTTTTGTTCCTCTTTTAATCCCTATGGGAGGGGCCATTCACCGTCTCCCTGTGTCTTTACTCCTGAATCGGCCCTTGTTCCTTAGCTGTTCCCTTCTCCTGGCAGTTCTACACATGCGCACACTGGGAACAGGCTCCAGCTGTTCTTCTGCCCCACTGATGTCTGACTCCAAAGGCTGCTGATAACTGTCAAGATGGCTCTGGCCCCCTCTCTGCCTCCAATGCAGAGCCTCATCAGAGCCTTCCCCAGACTCCAGGACTGGCCCAGGTTCCTCCCCAACCTCCTCACTGTCTTGAGTCTGCTGCCAGCTCTGCTGGTGGGTCACAACACTGTCTCTTCCCTGTGTGGTTCAGTCTGTTTGCAGTTGCATGACAGGCAGAAATTCCACAGGAAAATCCACAGGATTTCTGGTACTGCCTCCATCTCTGTAGATCCCTCCCTGGAAAAAGTGCAGAATCTTGCAAAAGAGACGGCCTTGGCCCATGACTGGCTCTGCTCTAATGATGCTTAAAATTTTTGCCTCGTAGGGAATTCTCTTCATTTCATAGGTTGCCAAAGTGCAGTTTTAGATTTATGGAAACAAAGTGCAAAAAAAAAGGCATTATCCATGGGAAAACTGCTTGCATATATTAGGAAAAAGACGCATGTTTTTAGATATGGATATGCATAAAAATCTTATTTAAAAAAAAACATTCAAAGAGAAACGGCAAAATAAAATGAAATCTACAAAGCTAAAGAACAAAGAGATGGAAACCGGCTTTCTGGTGCTTCTCATGCCCTTGTCACACCTTTGTGCCACAGTACTGAGGGGTCACAACGTCACCCAAGGGCTGAAAAGTCTCAAATTCCTCACGTACAGAGTTCCCCAGAGGAAAATGCAGCCCCCTCGACCCCTTCAAAATGTGCAGAGGCCTGATGGAGGCTCCTAACCATCAGTACAAACATCGCCTCTAACACAGAGCCCCCACTCCTCACCCCCCAGGCCTTTTGGACAGTTCCTTGTCCGATGTTCAGTTACAAAACAAGCACTTTGGGGTCTCCTTTACACCAGGAGGTTGTGAGTTCAGGTCTGTAAATTAGATGCCTTTGATTTGCACCTTTTGAGCTGTCCAGGGAACAGTCAGCTGCGGCATTCGGAGCTTCTCTTACAATCTGGCTGTCAGCAAGTTGGGAGAGCCAGTGTTGTGGCTGCCAGTGGCCAGCAGAACTGGCAGCAGATTCAGACAGTGAGGAGGTTGGGGAGGAACCTGGGCCAGTCCTGGAGTCTAGGGGAGGCTCTGAGGAGGGCTCAGTGTCGGAGGCAGAGAGGGGGCCAGAGCCGTTTGACAGTTATCAGCTGCCTTCGGAGTCAGACATCAGTGAGGCAGACGAACAGCTGGAGCCTGTTCCTGATGTGCACATGCGCAATTGCCAGACAAAGGAAACAGCTAAAGAACAGGGGTCAACTTGGGAGTAAAGCCACAATGGCCCCTCCCAGAGGAAATAAAAGAGGAGCAAAAGGGGAGTTTGCAAGAGAAAATTAGTTCGCTTAATTGGCTCGTGACTCTCCGACACTCCTTGCCAAGTTCTGCAGATATCAACCTGGCAGCTCTCCAAGCCAGATAAGGTCTGTGACTGTAAATCCTCCCTCAAAAGACTTTGCTGGATGTAAATGAGCAGAATTCACAGTAAATTAATAAAAGGGGCTTTTGTCGGGACCAGGAGTTTGCTTCCTGCTCTTGGGAAGCCTAGGTCAGAACAGCCAGACGGACCGTCATGTCCTCCCCAAGAGAAGCAATGTTGAGCAGCATTCTGGTTTTGCTCCAGCCTTCAGTCTCCCGCCCTGCTGTGGGACAAGGCACGAAGGCACGATCTCCTTAAATCTCAGTCCCCAGCTGCGTCTTGTGAAGAAGGGCAGGGTGCTCTCCTCCTGCGTCATCAGGTCGGAACTGTGCTGTTCCTGCCTTCTCTGCACTCTCCATGTTCGTGGATCAGGAGGGGGTGGTCCTTACTCACCTGAGCTCTGTGGCTCTTTCTGTCCACTGTTTGCCCTCTCTTGATCATCCTGCTAACTAGCCATCCCAATCCTGAAGAGACCTGGGCTGACTCGGCCTGTTCCCCTGCCCATTCCTCAAAAGCTCGATCTCCATCAGCTGTAGCTCCAGGTCGTCCCCCTCCATAGATTCAGGCTCCAAGGGGCGGGGGGGGGGGCATGACACCTGCCTTCCCCAGGCCTGCAGCCCATCAGCCAAGGAGCTGACAAGTAGGTCCAGGCAGCAGCTACCAGGGGCTGCTGAAGGAACAAAAGCCCAGTGTTGTTCTTGGGCTCCCTGCATCCACCTTCCAGCCCCTGACAGCCCAGCTTTAGGCCTTGATGCTCAATTGAAATGCAGCACTTGAAAAACCTTTGCTGACTGGAAGAAATATTATTGCTGGCCTGGAGTCCTTTCTGAAAAGTCTGGTGTGGAATGGGTCAAGGGAGAGTAATTTGTGGCCGGCCCTGGGATCTTCTCTGTGTTTTTATCAGACTGATGGAAGAAGAGCAGGAGGCCTCTGAGTTTTCTCTGGACTTGCAGGAGGGGGTGGGAGGTTTTGAGGGCCTTGAACAGGATGTCCCCCATGGACATGAAAGTCTTCTCTGAAGGAGGAGAACTGATTGAGTGTTCATCCTATTTGGTTCTTCTGCTCCACTGGAAATGACTTCCCTGTTGGGCTCTTGTTACCTGTCTCACCTCAGTGTGGCAAACCCTTTGAGAACTAGACTGGGAATCCATTTTATTTAGTAGTGGTCTTTCAAAGGAGGAACTTTTCAGAACCTTCTTAAGAAGGTAAGGCATCTTTCATCTCATCGTAGAACGATGAGTCAAATATCCCAGAAAAACAACTTGCCCTATAAACCACAGAGTTAAAGACTGAAGAAATCTAATCAGAGAGCATCTATACAGTCCACCTTCCCTACAACTCTCAGAGCAGAGTGGTATGGATCAGAGGTAGCATTCAGCCGGTTCGGACTGGTTCGCCTGAACCTGTAGTGGAAATCGCGGTTGGGCGTGGCCATCCACCCTGGCTCTATGCCATCCTATTTAGGTACATTTTAAAGCTGTGTGCATGCGTGCAAGTCATGTACACAATCAAAGTGCATGCGCAGATGGCTGAGCACATGTGTGGATGCGTGCTGTCACATTTGCGAACCGGAAAGTAAGTGAATACCAGCCATGCTTCAGATGCTGCATCATGTCATGTCCCCTGAATACGATCGTACATCTCCCCCTTCCTGGGGGAATTTCTCTATTTTTATGCAGGGTTTATATCCTATGTGGTGTTTCTTACAACTGCAGCTATTCTAGCTGGGAGTTATAAGGTTGGAAGCCAGTCCGTTGGGAAACCTGCACTAGGTATTCTCTGGGTCCAGACAGCCTGGCCCATGAACTCACCTGAATTTCCTGACGACCATCAAAAAAGGCCCTTTCTCTGTTCACGATTCCATCTGGATTGAGTCCCTCAAGCCAGAAGCAGCTATTGCCCCAAATTAAAGTCCGACTAGCAGTGGTTGAGCTTTCTAAAACGTTGCGAGACCTCACCAATAGTTGGCAAGATTTGAGGGTTTTTGCATGAGATCTCCTGGGTTTATGGTAACTACTATTTCCCAGAAGTTTAGTGAAATCGCACAAAAGCCAGAATTTGGAAATGGGAGAACTGGAAGTCTGCAAAAAAAAAAAAATTGCCCATCTTTAGCTCTTGAAATGTTGAAATGCTTGGCTAGGAACTGTATTGTTGGAGGATCTTTCTGCTGCGCACAGCAAGAGCCGGCAGCCTATGCCCTGTTGTGAAGGAAGGTTGACGTTGTGGTGCACCCAACAGGCTCTCTCTGATTTTCCTGCAGGGCGAAGATGGCTTCCCAGGATTCAAAGGCGACATGGGCATTAAAGGCGACAGGGTGAGTGCTGGGACTTCTTCTTCTCCATGGCCAGAAATGAAAACTCTTGCCAAGTATTCTTTAATCCCAAAGCTCTCTGGTTGGTCCTCGTGCTCAAGGGGTCCCACTGGGCTTCTGAGTTGATAACGGTACCCCTTTCCTACCCTCCCAGAACTCTCCCAAAGTCTTCCTTGCCATCATCTTCAATTAACGACCCCATAATCCCTTGAGGGTTGGAGTCTGAATGGAGCTAGCAGAGCCTTGAATGGCCAGTTGCCCTTCCTGTCGCCAATGCAGAGTTTTGTTCAGCAGATATATTCTCAGTGTGCCCAGAGAGAGAAATATCTGCCTCTACCTAAGATCAAACCCACAGCCTCCGGATTGTGAGGGCGAGAGCTCCACCTGTAGGCCACCCCACCACTCCTTTCCAAGTCTCCCTTGCGCAGTGACCAAATTTATGCTTGGCACAGGATTTGGAAATGGGCGAGTGGGAAATGCAAGTAAGCCCCTCCCCCTCCTGGAGTATTCCTTCAGCTGCCTTAGCTCCCATTCACGAATTGTGGGGATGGGATCTCTCATTTGGGGCGTTCAATTAATAACTTCTAAGAAAAGAATCGCTTCCCTGTTCAATCTTAGCCACTCACACTACATGCATTGCAGCTGCCCCCTTTGTATCAGAGGGCTCTGTCCTTCCCCTGGGATTGGGAAGAGGGTCTCTTGGGCAGCTCCAGGCAACCGGTTTTTTGCTTTTTTGTAAAACAGAGGCCTAATTATTGGTGGGTCCCATAAAGAGACGGCTTGATTGCTCACACCAGAGTAGTTCCTTTCTGCATGAAAAAAGCCAGAGCCAGGGCAGAATATTACCAAATTTTCATTTCATGGAAAATGAGATTGTACAGTTTTTCTGGAAAAATACATGCGCCATGCAAAACAACAGCAACGCATAAATTATTCAAGTGCCTCCTAAATACCCCCCCCCCGGTAGGTCTCCTGGGCTCTTGAAAGAGCAGAGATGAGCCCTCTCTCTCTCCCGCTCTCCCTCCTTTCCTCCCTCTCCCTCCCCTTCCATTCTCTCTCCCTCCCTCCCCCATCTCCCTCACCTTCTCCCTATCTCTCCCTCTCTCTCCTTCTCTCCCTCTCCCTCCCTCCCTCCCTCCCTCCCTCCCTCCCTCC